ATGCCTACATAAACAATTCCTGTCATGTCAGTTGTAATTTTGTTATCGAGAAGTCAAATAAGAACGTTCATCTATTCTATAACGTTCAGTACTAAACAATATCTAAAGTCTAAACAATGTGAGTCTACCTCCTGCTTAGTTTAAGTTTCATGTATGTCTATCTCGACCTATTAACTAATATTAAATCTTATTTTCAGCTTACGTCACTCAGCTTACGTCAATAAACGGGAGAAAAAGCAAGTCAACTTTTCCCTACCCCGTTGAGCCCGCACACGTATGTGTCACATTTCATCTTCAATTTTTTCGCAATTTTTAAAATTTACCGAGGAAGTACCGCCATCATCAATAACAGCCGGCAATCGCAATTGATAAAACTAAATCCCAAAATTTGTTCGGACAAAAGTCCATCTGGCAACCCTGTTTTAGATGATTTGAAATCTTTTTGTTTTCGGGATCTTGGTCTGGCAGACCCAGGCGGGTCCGGGTTTTAGTCAAATGATCCGGATTCATGTTTTAGTCAGCACCTTGACAGCAAGGGAGCGAAGCCGTGCACCCTTAATTCTGTGCACCAATAAGCCCTGAATCGAACGCCTTGGATCTCTCCGGACATCCACCAATCAGCCGTGAACCACTCGGCTTTGTCCTCCTCCGGTCTTGCATAAAACCTGCCGTGCACCACCAGGCCGTGGATCGAATATGACTTCCGGGCATCGTTAAGTTACGTAATTTTACGTTCACCGCATCTGAGGTTAGGTTTCAGATAGCATAGTTCTGTTCCAAAATTTATCGTCCACTTTGTATTTTCTTTGCCGTAACGCTTCCAAAAAGAGAACCTTTTCATCGTGCCAATTATCAAGTGCCACTCGGCAACCACCTGACAAAACGATAAGTAATGAATACCGGTATCTTGAACCTGAACCTGAACGTAACGTAAATTTGGTGGAGTAATCACTCCGATTCATCCAACTTTAAAAGATATGAGACGATAGGAAACGTCTCTCTCTCTCTATATATAATATTCAAAAAAATCCCTATTTAATCAAGCAAACTTCAACCCATAGGCGCTGTGGGCGGCCTTTCGCGGTGAACCCCTTCGTGATGCTGAAGAAGAGTTGAGAATGAAGAGAATTTAAGTGATGATCGGAGGAACTAAAAATTTAGTCTTCAGCACAAAAAACCGACGTCAGCTAAAGGCCCCGTAAACAAAAGGGTGCAGGATAGTCAAGCCAACAGGTAGTTTCGATTGGTTTTCTCCAACATTTCGGCCACGGACGGCTCGGTTGCCGTTGCAGCTCGCTTGAGCTCGGCGCCACACTCCTCACTGGTCAAAGGTTGCATTATCACTCAACTCGGGGCTAATCAACTCGGACTACATTAATTTGCAACAGTGGTAGCCCGTTAGGTCCCTTAATCGTGGAACTGACTTATGCTCTAAATTGACTTTTTTAACCGTATAAAATATGTGACATTACTTAAACTTATCCAACATTTCCTGGTTATTTTCCAACAGAAAACAACGTGAGGCAACAGCAACACGTGATAGCGATACATCGCTCTGCCCGCTGCGGTGATGCACCAATACCAAATTATATTCTGAACCGTAAAGCAACTGCACTGCAAAATATAGAGATGCAGCACCAACTAACCAACACAACGATAAGAAATAACAATAATACTGTACATAACAGGAAGCAATAAGCCAGAATATCATAAAAATTGTTGCCGCATATTGACCACAAATTAATGAAACAAATTCAAATCAAATGCTTGCAAGTTGCAGGCATTGCAATTTGCCAAAGTTTGTGACTTTCGAGTATGAAACGGTGAGAAAAAGGCAAGGTGAAAAAATGATTGTTGAGAAGCAAGGTCCCGGAGCTGTTCCCGAGCATCGTCGAGTTAACCCGATACACTCAATTAATAGGCTAAACCAAGTTAACCCACTATGCTGGGACAACTAGCAGGTGCGGTTAACCTGATAAGCCGGAATATGTTGCTACTCCGTTTAACCTGACGCTGTAAACTATCGGGTAAAAGTTCGTTTCAAAATTAATGTGAGGGAAGCGCCTGATACCAAATCTATAACATTTATTTTCGCACAGCTTTGTTTAGCTGGAGGCAATAATAATTTGTCACATTTTATCCGATGAATATGCAAGAATGTTCCACCATAACATTCTTTGCAGAATTCATGGTGCTGTTGTTTATAGACTGAGTTGAACCGTTAGAATTCATGGTTTGGAGCTGTTCGAAGTAGTCGCTTTGCTACGTGCACGGATGCTGGCCAACCAACAATTCTCCTTGACAAAGCTCTACCTGAGACTAGTGCCAGAAGATTTTCTATCAGAGGCTGAATTTATGCATTGGCGTTTGTTGTACGGGAGGCATCATGAGCATCATCTTTCTCGTTCCCAATTCTGTCCGAGAAACACGTCCCTGTTGAATACATGGTTGGAGCCACCCACTCTAGGTTTAAGGTGAACACTGTCTGAAATACTGTCAAATCTGAAATACAACCAAATCTTATATACTGCCATGTACGAAATATTGCCAAATTTGAAATACTGATAACCGTAAACTTATCTATCCGGCGCATGCGGCAGAAGATGTAGCCTACCTACTGAAGTTGACCAACAGTTGACACGTCGAGAGTCGTTCAAGATAACGGCCGTCATGTTCTGTTTTAAGAGTTGGTGATACTGAGGCGAAGAAATACCAATAACTGCTGCACGAAGAACCAGCTGTCGACAAAAACAATCAAATATTAAATCGATTCCGGTTGCGTGTAGGAGCAGATGTTGTTTAAGCCATCAAATCATCTAATAGATTCTGGCTGCATGCAAGTACTGTCGATTAAAGGCAGTATGAAGTGCTAAATTGCAACGTTCGTCAGGAGCGAGCACGCTCATGAATTGCATGCCTGATCATATGTTTATCCGTCGTTATTCAGGGGCCATACTTTCAAAACTCGCTAAGTGAACGTAAGTACTTACGCTCTATTTTCTTGTCTATGATTGGTGGATTTTGCTTGAAAGGCCGTCAATGATTGGCTGATGAACTTACGATCTCTTAGCTTTTTTTTTAAAGTATAGGCCCAGGATATTGCCGTCCCAAGCCTCGCTAGCTGGAGCGCAGTCTTCGTCTTCCGTCGACCCAGAGCGCGAGGAACTTGGTACGTACGTCTCTACCCCGTGCTACCTACAGGAATGATGATAGTCTGAGGGATAGTTGGGATTTGTTATAGGTTAGAGTCAGGTCCCAAAGTGTCTTTTTCTACGAAGTAAGCAACGAAGCATCATTGGTTAATTGACCGAACTTCATCGTCTGACGTAGCATCGTCGTTTTTCTAACCTGGAATTCAAATAAAAATTAAAAATTTCTTGTGTACAATGACATTTTCATGTAATTTGGGCGCTCTGCATCATTTTTATTTCTTTTCTTTTTTGGCATTTGTTATGACATTACGCTGTGGTTATAACTTGCATTACTTTAACGGAAAATCCTGACACATTATAACCCACAAATTTAAAATGAAACCTTGTATATTTTCCACAGCTAGAGGTCATTGAGTCATCAGAGTGAGATTTCCATGAATATAAATAATATGCAAAAAATACATACTGTAAAACATAGTGATGTGTTAGAGGCTCAATTGAAATTTATTCCGAATTTATGAGATTTATGGCAAATACACTTCTATACGTTGTTCCACCAAGCTACTTAATTAACAGTAGAAATCAGAAGCAATTTTGTTGAGCCAAAAGTAATACGGGAAATGGTATGATAAGAAAATATATTTACATTCATTTACAATGTGTTATGTATTAAGGTCAGTGCTGGTAAAATAATTATTGTACGTAGAAACCGAAATGACGTGACGGTTTCAAACGAAACAGCCAATAAATATTATTTTTCTGCGAAAATATAACACAAAGTCTACCAGCTTCAAAGTAAATTTATAAAATTGCACGTGATAATATAGATTCAAATGTCACTCAGAAATAAGTATTTTCTTTTCCAATAAACTTTTTCATTAAGAGCTCTACGGTAAACGAAGTACCTCTCAATGTTTTAATATCCGAAACTCTGGCTTCGTTTCATCTATTGCGCCCGACATTACCTGTCCGTCATAAGTAATCTAAATACCTAGTATTATTCTCAGTAAGCCTTGCGTATACTAATTAACGAATAATAAAAACATTATTATGTTGTTTCTAATGCCAAGAATTTCCTCAGAGGTGAGCTTATCTAATCATCAAGATATATTGGTACTTATCGTTATCAGCGTTGATAAGTAACAAATTAGATGAAGGCTATTCGCTTATGAGTTCAGTAGAAAATACGTACTTCAAGTGGCTAGGCAAGGAGGCTGTAAAAGACGTGTTGTAAATGTAGCTCTTTTACTTGGAAGATTGTGAAGAGCCATGAGTTTTAAACTCGTGATAACAATTTTAATTTTATTGCATTATGGATACAGTGATGATTCGTAGAACCTTTTGAAAAACTGTATGAGAGTTCATGTTCTCCATTTGGTCCATCACGTATAAGTTTGCAGGGTATTCCAATGTAATATTGATAATATAACAATATAATATTAAGTTTTCAGGGAATGGAAAATATCATAAAAATCTGTGCTGGATTACACAAATTTTTTTTTTCTCTTTTTGGATTTTTTATCCGTAAAATTAAATCCAATCCAACATTGTGTTCAGGCTAGATTTACTCTTATATTTAATTTCGTGATACTCTCCATTCTTTCAAAGCATTGAACATCGGCGAACAATTTTTACGATAGCGAATTTGTTCGCATTTTGTACCCCGAGTAAAGACAATCAACCGTGCACCTCCTTTGAATCATTAATGATTCAAAGGAGGTGCAACCCTTTGGATCATTAATGATTCAATGGGTTGAAAACGAATTAGAGCAATGCAAGCGAAGAAATCTTAATGCATTGTTTCCATTGCATATATAAAACTCTAAATATTTTATATTTTATCGTTTTTCAGATCTTTTAAATTTTTAAATAAATTAAAGCTTATTCAGGAGCTTTCCGTCATGACTCGCAAGAGCTTATCTCTGGACAGCTCTTTTGAAGAGGTTGGGGAATCATCAGGCTTTACCATTCATGGATTCGCCCAGAAGCATCAGTTCATCATGGGTGTCATATTCTCATTAATAGCACTTGGAGTTTCCTCTGGCATCATTGGCCTGATCGCGGCAACTCCTCACTCTAACACACCTTATGGATCGATCGAGAGCTCCACCTCCGCCCAACCCTCGCTGTCCACCACACCGGAAACTACAATAGCTCCAGGTATGATGATATGTCGATTTTTTCACATTTAATTTATTTTCTCTTCAGCAGTACGACTAAAGCTTGTTGACACTAACTGTCAACAAGCTATGAAGCTTGTTGACAGTTAGATGCGTACGTTCCTTATATATGGTAGGACTTACTCACAGGGCATCTACTCATGAAACTGATTCACTCCGAAAGATGAAACACATGTAAATGTGCCTCTGGTGCTCACAGAATTTCTTCTGTTATATACCGTATGTTTGCGATATATTCTCTGGTACTATGAACACATATGAAACCTTGTTGAACAAGTCAGTTCCCTAACAATGATTGGATTAAGTCGGTGTGTAGGAGTACTCTGCTGACATGTAGTACTGGAGGAGTACATGGCTCACATGAGGAATGAGGACGATTGTACGGTAATTTAAAAAATCTTAGTGATCTCCTACTGTAGGCAGTGGGATGAAAACTGACTTGTTCCACTCTTTTGGCCACACAGTGGCTTCCCAAATTTCTGAGTACAGTGCACTGAGAGTGTTGGGTGATACGGGCTTTAACAATTCAGTTGGGATGCCATCAATGCTAGGTTGTTGAGTAGATGTTTTTACGTAACTTTCCGAACGCAAATTTCCGAACAGAATGAAAGGTTCTAGTGCCATTATTTTTAGTTCGATCACTACAGGAAGTTTGCAGTTACAGGGATATAATTCTTCTGCATGCTCACGTTATCTGCATATATGCCACGCTATTTAGTCAGGTATTTGCCACGCCTGTCTTTGATGGTTTCATTACGTGTTAAGAACCTCGCTCGGATTATTTTTACCTTTGCAAACGCATTCCTAGTGTGGCTTTTTAATTTTTTTTTCATAAAATTTCACCGTTTGTTTCAACAGTTTCTTTGTCCTGTCATGCCGCAGACAGAAATTTTGCATTTAGTCTCGTTTTCTCGTTTGCAATCTATCGTTGAGCAAATGCGAAACAGTTATGAAAACTTACACCCACCAGATGGAGAGTCGGCGCACGTCGGCAAAGTTGTCGCCCCTCTTCGCAGTGCCATCGATGTCTTATTCCATGGCAACGTAGCGGCCACAGGTGGTCACCTCATCGAGCCTTGATGTCCCCAGGGCTCTGTATGCTCAATGCTTCGTGGACCACAACACGCGAGTCCAAGTTTGATAATGAGGATGTACGCTGGCGTGCATATTTTTGTTGTTGCGTCGTTGCAACTAACGTAGATTCCCAATTGCAATACACGTGGGAGAAGATTGCATAATGGCTTTGACTTGCTATAGGTTGGTAAGACGGTTAATAATCTAGCGAGACTACTCAAGTTTCAATATTTTATTATTACTCAAGTTTAAATATTTGAGATGCTACCAAATACTAGTATAAAATTTCTTGTTTTCCCTCCAGAGCGATAACAATTGTTTTTAGATTAGAGATCAAAAATACGATCGCAATACTTGGATATGATCAAACGATCATATCCAGGATTGATTTTAAGAGAGAATAGATACAATGAAAACGTGATAGCTCGTGCGAGGTCTGGCTAGAGGCTCAATTTCAGTGCGGGAATGCGATATGATTTGACTTTTTTATTAAAAATATTCAACGAAAAGAATTTAAGAACTTATAATAAATAAATATACGTTAACTAAGCTTCAAATTTGTATAAATTCCTATTGTTATGCATGCTAATTTAATTGTGCAATTTTTTGCATTTAATAAGACAGTTCCTTAATTGGCATGGAAACAAATGCTAGAATTATTCGTTTATTTAGCGAAACAAGTATAATCTAACCTTAAACAAGTACTTAAACTCACCAATAGGTATGGGTGCAGCTCTAACAAGCTCTCATTTTAATATATACGGCCAGAATGCAGTGAAATTGCTCTTTTGGTCACAGTAAGCCACTTGTATAAGCTCTGTTTGTAAGCTTTTAAATCAAAGACAAAATTAGCTGGGTTTGCATTTCGATGAAACGTGGATCCTTGTCAGAATTTATTTATTTATAATTACCGCATCAAATCATTTGCTTCTCGGCTTTGAGCAAACTCTTATTTCAGGAAATGAAAAGAAATTCAATCTTATTCATGTCATTTCTGAAATTCGATTGGGGGCCTTGACTGGAAATGCTCCAAACTCTCTTAAGTTGATTCGCTAACCCCGACAATATGGGTTCAATAAACTCACCCTGCAGGCCTTGTTTTTTTTTCGATAACTGACGTATGTGATGTTATGTAGAAACATAATAAAATACGAGTGTTCAATTCGAATTTCGATCAAACTTAACGAAGTAAGTCTCCGTCTAATTACGATTCAAGCTTCATAACGATATTTTTGGTCCAGATCATCGATAAATACAAATACTATTCGAGTACAGTAGTTTTCTTGAAGCAAGGGAAGGCAAGGAGAATGAGGAAGCACACAGTCTTTTGGAGCTCTGCCTCAGATAGCGAGCCGCAACCTCGCTGTTCTGGACGATACAAACAATTCCTTAACACAAGAGCGCACGTGGAGTCAAGAATATCACTCAGATATGCGCACAAAAAAGCCCAATGATTTGCAACCCAAAAATATCACTCAGATATGCACACACGAAAAGACCAATGATTGACAAACAAAAGAATATCACTCAGATATGCGCACAAAAAAAGCCCAATGATTGAAAACCCCAAAATATCATTCAGATATGCACACAAAAAAAGCCCAATGGTTTGCAACCCAAAAATATCATTCAGAAATGAACACACGAGAAGCCCAATGATTGAAACCCCATAAACAAAAGTTTGAAAGTGGAAAATGATCCAATACATCGAATAATGTACAATTTGGCTAATTTTAATCACTTAATTGAATAGATTTTTTCATGTATTAATGAAATTTAATAGAAAATACTAATCTTATTGATATTAACACTAGCGGACATTAATTTTTTTTCAACTTGCTTTCCTGGGAGTAAAATTAGCGTTACAGCTGTTGGCTTATTGAGACATCCAGGATGAAGGCACGCTAACACCGAGCTGAGTATTATAGACAAATAAATATTGATACACGTAATATTATACCGTTTCTCTCAACCAACACTGAAACAGGCTAGTAGCGAAGGCACTTTACCAAAGACACACCATTAACACCTATAATCAACACAGATCCTTAAAAATACCACTTTCCCATTCATTAAATAACATTTGTTTAAGTCTCAGCAACAATGCCTCGAGCATCACTATGCGAAGCTGGAAGAAAATAGCGGCCGCCCTGGGAATCGTCTCATATGCATCAAAAATTATTGGTGATTCAAAGTAGGCATAACTTTTTTTCTTGTTTTCTAGGAGTAGAATTTGAAAAACGAAGTTCAGTAAAGAACCTCCTCAAGTTGCTGCTTATTTAAAGTAATTAAAACGGTTTAGTTCCAACATGGCTGACGGTCCGGTAACAGAAAATTTCAGCGATGAGGCGGGAAAGGTAGAAATAATCTCATGAACACTTAATAATAAGGTAGAACCAAGTTCTAAATGCTTTAACGTCCATCAACTAAAAATGAGAAAATCAAAAGCAAAAATCTATGAGCCCCACGCGTCGTAATAACCAAGTAGCCTCATACACGCGAATATTTCCACAGAATGGAAACTTTGGCTGTAAGCCTCATAGAAAATGTGAAGTGTTAAGAAGGCCTTCACTTCTTGCCCGAGGAGGCTTTACGCTCCTTCTCTGCCTGTATCTTGAGGTCCTCTTCGACCTGCTTGATTCTAGCCTTGGTCATCTCAATGCCCTGCAGACAACAGTCCTTGTAGTACGGCAGCTGCTCCTGCACACGCGAGAAAAAATATAACTCAGTACTCACTGCAGTGAGTGACAGAGAGCACATTTTCTCGTCGACGAAAACTTGAGGTCACGGACAGACGGACAGACGGACAGACGGACGGACAGACAGACAGACGGACATGGCGAGCACAATAGTGCATTTTTTCCATAAATAAGAAAATGCGCTAAAAATATAACTCAGTACTCACTGCAGTGAGTGACAGAGAGCGCATTTTCTCGTCGACGAAAACTTGAGGTCACGGACAGACGGACAGACGGANGTGAGTGACAGAGAGCGCATTTTCTCGTCGACGAAAACTTGAGGTCACGGACGGACGGACAGACAGACGGTCAGACAGACAGACGGACATGGCGAGCACAATAGTGCATTTTTTCCATAAATGAGAAAATCCACTAAAAATTGAAAATTCCACACGAAAGAAACTTTGCGGCATCATTGAGGGAAAATTATTTGTTAATGTTATTATCTAAATTATAGTTTATCACTTCTATAAGACGAGGAAATTCGTTAATGGCCGTTTCAACTGCAAGCATGCAGAGTAACCGGAGTGGCACCGGAGCTTGATAATTATAGTATTGCACACAAATAACACAAAAGTGAAGTAAATACCAAGTAAATTCGCCATATCTTCAATGAAAACCGTTTCTTGTTCTGGAATTCAATCATCGGAACAATAAATTTTATAGAAACAAAATATCCAGCAATTCTAAAACATTCTTCGAACTGATGATGGAGCTTGTCTCCGAAACGTTTTCATTAAAGATATGGTGAATTTGCTTAGCGTTTTATTTGCATTAAAATTCTTTGTTAACATACCATTTAGACATATTAATGATAGAGGTAATTAAACAGTATTGTTGGCGTGCAACACACCTATATTTATTGTATGACATGATTATATAATATTGTTGTGCAACACACCTACATTTATTGCATGACATGATTATATAGTATTGTTGGCGTGCAAACCCCCTATATTCCTATATTTATTGTATGGCAAGACGATATAGTATTGTTGGCGTGCAACACACCTATATTTATTGTATGACACGATTATATAGTATTTATGCCGTGCAACTCACCTATATTTATTCTTTGACATGATTATATAGTATTGTTGGCGTGCAAACCACCTATATTTATTACATGACATGGTTTAGTAACGCACCCTGAGCTTATTGGACCAGCGCGTGACGTTGCCATAGCACTTGTAGGCATATCCCATGGCGTCAAGCTCCGTCAGCGACGCAAGCACTGCCAGGTCCGCGATGGTGAGCTTGTCCCCCGTCAGATAGCCGCCCTCCACCGTCTCCAGCACCCCGTCCAGGTAGTCCAGGCTCTGCTTCAGCAGGTTCTCTTTTTCGGCGTCGGGTGGAAGCCCTTCGAACTGCTTAGGTCTCTGTAAAGGAAGAGTTCCACGTTATATGCCATAAAAAATGTCGTAGGAAACTGATGGTTTCTTCAAATTTGATCGTATAGGTGTTTGTCAAAGTTTAGGTATGATAGGATTTTGTGGTAATGATCACTTTAAACGTGGGTAGATAATGAAGTTTGGAATATATAAATGATTATAAATTTATATGGATTTCACGTATTTCAAATGATAAATACTAACTGAATTATTCAATCACTCAAAAATCTTTGATCGATTTGGCAATGGAAGTTAAAGTTCACCAAACTCTATATATAATTAAGGCGTTATGGTTACAACTCTAATAAATAAGATCAAATGAACGGAGCTGAGACTCACGAAATATTCTTTGATGGCATACGTAAGTGTGCATACGGTTACAACTCTAACAAAAAAGATCAAATGAACGGTGCTGAGACTCACGAAGTATTCTTTGATGGCATACGTAAGTGTGCCCATGTCGAAGAAGAGCAGCCGGTCGACGGTGCCTCGCTGCTCAGGCTCTGTAGGGTAGAGGTGTTGGTTCTCCGGGGTACAGTACTTGTTGCACAAGTACTGCATGATGGCGCGGCTGCGGGGTAAACATACTTTTAATGCTGGGTAAACACACCTCTCTTATTTTGCAAACTTCTTAATGACGTTTGCATCAAAATAATTAGAAAATAAATGCAAAATTATAACAAAATTAAAACTTTGTGCGTCGTCACCAGATTAAATGGAACATAAGTTCTTTGGTCCGAACACTGCCTTGTTCCAAGGAGGTCGCTACAAAGGCTTCAGGTGATCAAGAAGCTGCAGAACGCCGGGGTGTGAGCGAGAGAGCTGTGTGTGCTTAGAGGGTGTGGCTCTGACCGCAGGATGCTCGATAACCTCTTTTGAATGCCTAACTGCGTTCAATGAAAGCCGGCCACACAGCCCTGCTGGCAGTAATAGATGGCCAAACTTTTTCTTCTTGGTCGAGATTTCAGTGAATTCTGTTGGGCAGCAACAGATGGAGTGAAGTGCCACACTTTCAGTTGATTTCTTCTTACAAACATTTCGGGCGAAGATATCAATCGGTAAAGTGGAATGCCACCACTTTGTATCGATGAATCGTTTCCACTTATAGTTTTGTATCTACTTTGAAATCGATTTATATCAAGTAACAAGTGCCCGATAAATGCGTGCACGATTAATTACTGTCACTTGAGCAGCCATAAAAAATAATTTTTGCATCAAACGATATTTTAAATATTCCTTGTGGCAGCACGTGGTTCAGTTTCGATCTACTTTATTGTAACTTGACGCGTTAGATGTTCTCTTTGCTATAACGGACGTTGCCTTTTCTTTCATGGTCGTAATTTCTTAGAAGAGCATCACAAAGGGACCCTCTCAGCGTAGCTATACTACCGGACACACCCAAGTGACCGCTCCCAAGAGACCACCTAGATCTTCAAATCCAGAACCTGTTACCAGTACGAGCCCTTTGCATCAACAGGGAGCTAGGTTTTCAAACTTTTCTACATGATGATTAATATTAAGGTGATTACAAACCCTCACTTTATCCTCCGATTGATCGTTGGCTATATCCTGGGTCTACAAATGTTCATCCAAGAAATTGAAATATGCTCATTATAGCGTCGTGTTTCGTTATATTGGCGCAAATTTAGATTGGTATTACAATTTAATCGCAAGCAGCTGGTGAATTTGCGACAAATTCTAACAAAGGTGCAGACAAATGCTAACAAATCTGTTACGTATTTGTGAAAGTTTATGTGCGTTTGTTTGAATCCTGCCACTTTAAACACAGTTAGAGTTCTTCGGCCGCGTATCCTGAATTACCTAATCTTTTTGAGAGATTACATAAAACATGAATTTGGCTGTAAAAGATATAATCACAAGAAAAGGAATCAATATGAAAAATTTTCTATTTGGATTATTGAATACAATTTTTTGAATTATAAAAGAAAATTTCCCTGAAATTTCGAAACATGAATTGAACGTAAATTTCATGCTGACAGTGGATTCGGGGGGGATCTTGCTCTTTTCAAGAGTACCTGCGATGTCAAATTGGCCCGCAATCAGGTATTATGGGATTGACAATAACGGAATTTAGAATTGCAGGGCTTCAAATTCTTGGGATTGTCTTACCCGGGCAACGCCGGATTGAGTTAGTTTTATTCATAATAAGCCTATTCAATATAAAGCTACGCAGTTCGCACCACCTCTCATTTCAAATATACGCACATTCATGGTTAATAAATAAGCAACCAACACACATAATAACAAAACCCAAATCCAAGGCATTTAGGATACAATTACGATCGATCAGCCTTTAGGCTTTTGCCCAAAAAGAGCCAAAAGAGTCTTTTACCCAACGTCTCCAGGCAAACTCTTTACCCGAATAAGAAATTTCTACCCCCACGCAGTATTCGTATTGAGGACGCCTCGACTCTATTGTAAGATTGCCGATCTCCACACGAAGGACCGCGGCACTCGTTCACAATAGCCCGTAGATCGCAGGTGTCTCATAACTCGTGCGCACGGTACTCCATCCGCCGCTCACAATATGTCAGGCAAGAATGGGTGGTCAGGCGCACAGTATGGGCTCATCAAAGCCATAGACTTTCTTGTAGACAAGATCGAATCTGGAGCGAATGTGTTCAATAGATACATGAAATTCATACTTGAATTTGTGACGGATATAGTTGTGCTGAGCCAACATTACAAGACCCTTGCAAATTGACACCGTATTGTCTTCTTGACTTGAATGGGGAAGGCCTTTCCTTTCCATAGCCATGTCTGCTTAGTGGCGATAGATTTCACTGAATAGCAAGCTTTACATTCGGAGTTAACATAATATTAGGCAAACGTCTATGGATATTTCTTACAAAACATATTACAAAGCATGAAATGAATACGGCCAACTTTATAATCTAACAATTTTTTCAATAATTAAGTTTGAACGGGTTATTGTTTAATTAACGTACTTTAGTTTCAAATTCTTCATTCGGCCTGGCAAGTAGCCCGAGCATTGCCGGGCAAACCTGATTGTTTTCCACAATTTTACTCGCCTACATCGATAAATATTGCATGAGCCTCGCATTTTAACTAAATTATGAATTTTAACTAAATTCATGATTATACTAATGCTGAGGGGCATGAAGCCAGATGAAGTTCTACAATCTACTGTGTGTAAATGATCTTCAGTAATTAATATCATAGGAAAATGGAGACCGATTTAGGATTTTTTAAATTAAAAAAACTGATACAGTAATAAAGCTGATATTTTTTAAGGAACAAGGTATATCGGCCAATTCACAGGATAAATTCCAAAATATTTTTGGCTGGGATAATAAATTAATTTACTGGTCATTCCCCAATAGATACCCTGATTCCCCAAGACAAATTTCAACACTTGCTTGATCTTATGTGCTGCTATTAGCTCGCCGCGTCGACTGTATAGTGCGGATGACACTATTCTTAGAAAAAAGTTTTCCTAGAAGATCTTATCATCAGCTCGATAATAAATATGAATATATTTTGTTAAGCTGCTACAGTGGAACTGCCCAAGAGGTAAAAAGTTTTCACTGTTTATTTTTTATGAAGTTTAGTCTTTTAAGTGTTGGAGATCGACATTACATACGTTCGAAATGACCATCAAAGAGTTAAGAAAATTTAAACAAAAATTGCTACTGTCCTTATTATTTTATTATTGTGTTGAGTGCCTTGGATCAGAAAAATCAACAAGTTAGAAATGAGGTGGACATGTCTATAAAATTTGGGAGGAGAAGGGAGCAGCGCTGAATTTTTCAAAACCTCGAAGAATACTTCAAGGCGCAGGTAGCGCGGGCCAAGTATTTTTTTAATTTTAATTCTGGGGATTGAGAAGCTTGAAACTCGAAGAACACTTCTGAAGCAGGCGGTGCAGTTTCCAAGTTGCATTCTTCATAGGGTGGACCAATGGCTTGTTATTTCCAAGAACAATCTTGATTTGAAGTCCCATAGCTGTGCTGTTAACATAATTGGAGTAAGTAATTCACGCATTGGCTTAGTACTTGATTCTCCCGATGCTTAGGCTTGATGCATGTTCTTGAACAGCAAGGTTCGTCAGACACGGGATAACTGTGGCAGGGTTGATTGTGTCGCTCAAAGGCCGGTCTCTTGCTCTCTGCTGCCGGAATCTCAAAGTCCGGCAGCAAAGCAGAAAAAGACAGGCCTTCAGAGAACTTTCTTCGCGCTCTGCAGGATCCGTTGAACAGGTGTTGACGAAACACCAGGGTTAAAGGTGGCACGTAAAAATATATTTTTTCTTCTGTTCAAATTTAAAATAGTAGAAGTTTAAGAGTTACTTATATTGTACAAATAAAATTTAGATTCATGCCATCAGGTCAACCTCCCAAACAAACAAAGAAGGATACAAAAGTATACGGCGATTAAAAAATCATGGTTGAGAAAAAAGAATCGACTCATTACTCATGCAAAGTTAGAACCGTTAAACCGCTGTAGAGATGTTTATGTTTAGATTTAGATCCAAATATATCCATGAAATGTAGGCTAAAATATCTGAAGTTACGAGAAAACACTTTATATCAGATTGATGAGCGAGAATGCGTGAGATGACAACGCGCTCTCGTATACTGTTCATCATACGAAGTCTTTTAGTTAAAATCACAAAGAAGAATTTTCTGCGGCAGAATGTAATTTACTGACTTCGTGATTGCAGGAATGACAGTAGAAAGAAGGTTTTATGTCGCCAACAAATTTAAAGCAAAATACATTATTCTACAACTAAATTTATTCAAGTCTGTCGTAAGAAAATGTGTTTAAGAGTCATTTAGAATTTATGTTTGCGAAAGCCTCTATAACATATGTTAGTTCGTCAGATAAGAAAGAAAGCGATCGAGTCAAGTTAGGTGTTATGGAATTTGCTTGCAGTGTCATCCTAACAGATGCCGCACCCACTCTCTCCGTTATCACGAGTCTGACCAGTTAAGAGCATAACTTTTTCCGTTAATTACTGATGAAAATACCAAACACAATGAAACAGGTGAGCGGAACTTAACACAGAAACTTACAACTCAATAAAGTGCACGAAAGAGCGTTGTTGAAGGGGGCAATTAGCATGAGCTTTATGGAGTCGGCCCAAGTCAGGCATTGGGACGGATCTTCTCTGGTCGCAATGGCGCACTCACTCTAGTGGAAAGATGCTCCGACCAGTTCGGCGCTACACGACTGAGAAGGCAAGGCAGTTTGCATAATGCGATCGCTGCTTACAGTGACCAACTCGGCTCTTACGTTCCTAGGCTCATGTAATGATCAGAATGGCATATTGGCAAGTTCTCTGCCCAGCCGCTATGCTTAAAAGATAAAGCATTGCTCTTTATCCACACTGACTGGCCTCAAAATAGCTGAGCAAGTTTCACTAGTTCCATTGTACAAAATGCTCATAAAATTTATCGATACTATGGAGGGTTCTAGAAAAATATAGAAGAACATGGCTTGACGATTATCGGTCGTAAAGCCGGGACATTAGAGTTACGGTTTCGATCAGATTAAGAAGACGAAAATTAATTGTCATGTTTCCGTATT